ATAGTCAATCCTTCTTCTTGGTCTGTCTTAATTCAAATGCTCAGATTTAGAACAGTATCTGACAGGCAAGCATTTTACAAAAAGGAGTAGATGAAAGACACTTCTCAGTTATAGAAGCAACCAATAGATTCCATGTTGCTCCCCACCCTTGGCAAGTGTGTATTGACCCATCCCTTTCCCGCTCCACCAGCATTCCCTTCTACTCCCGCCTACCCAATTCAACACTTCCCTTCCTGGATCCAGCCCTTGATATGATGGCTTAGGTCTCAAGCCCTCTGGGCTTCTGTGATTCTGAACGCCTCACACTGCTGCCAGTCACTTATGCAGCAGGCAGTCTCTCTTGATTTAGGAGTCTCTAAGTCCAAATTCCAGGTATTAGTATTAGGGAAGGCTTCCTCCCTCAGATGGTTCTAAGGAAAAGTCCTTTGTGCCTTGAGCTTCTGCTCCAGGACTGACTTCTTGTGGCTTAGTGCCTCTCTCTCCCATTTGCAGCATGCTGCTGTTGCAAGAGGATAACTTCCTAGCACAGAGTGATGGGTCTTCTAGATGTGGTACGTAAGTGTTGTTTTCTTAGCCTGAAGGCCACTGCACTCAACCCCAAAACTATTTAAACTCTCAGGTCCTGCCCACCAGACTTCTGGGGTGTGTGGGTATACCTGGGTACCAGAGGAATGTCTATCTGTGTCTCACTGACTGTGCAAAGGCATTTGACTGTGTGGATCACATCGCAACAAACTGTGGCTAACCTTGAGAAGAATGGTAATCCCAGAACATTTAATTACACTCATATAAAATCTAAACTTGGACCAGGAATCAGCCATCAGAACAGAGCAAGGAAAACAATGCATGGTTCAAAGTCAGGAAAGGATGTCTTCTGTCTCCATAGTTTTTCAATCTCTATGAGGAACAGATCATTTGAGGCCTAGCCTTTATGAGGAGGAATATGGCATCAGGACTGAAGGAAGACTCATCAATAACCTGTGTTATATGCAGATGACACAACAGAACTGAGGACCTGAAGCTCTTCTGCAAAAGGTCAAGGAGTATAGTCTCCAAAATAGACTGAAGCTCAACATCCAAAAAAAAAAAAATCAAAGATTCTCACCACTAGGCTAATTGACAGCACCATGATAGATGGAGAAGAGACAGAGAGACTGTTAACTATTTTAGTTTGCTTGGTTCCACAATCAACACTCTTGGGATCAGCAGTCAGGAAATCAAAAGACTAATTGCATTAGGAAAATCTGCTGTCAGGGACCTCTCCAGAGAGCTAAAGAGCAACACTGTCAGTCTAGAGACTAAAGTGTGCCTGATGCAGGCCCCAGTCTTCACAATTACTTACTATGCATCAAAAATCTGGTCAATGACTAAGGATGATAGAAGAAGAATTGATGCCTTTGAGCTGTGGTGCTGGAGAAGAGTACTGAACACACCATGGACTGCCAAGAGAACAAATACATCTGTAGTAGAGAGGGTGAAACCAGGCTGCTCCTTGGAGTTAAAGATTTTGAAGCTCTCACATACTTGAAACATGTTGCCTGGAGGGACCAGTCCTTGGAGAAGGGCATCATGGTTGGAAGGATAGAGGAACAAGACAGAAGAAAAAGACTCCAGATGAGATGGACTGGCACAGTAACTGGGGTAATGGGGGTAGATGTGTTGGAGACAGTGAGACTGGCTCAGAATAGGGTAAGGTTCGAAGCTATTGTACCATAGCATTGTTACGAGTTGCAGGCAACTCGACAGCACATAACAACCACCACCTTTCCAAGCATGATATTCCTCTCCAATGAATAGCGTGTCTCCTAGCAACATGCCCAAAATATGTGAGATGAAGCTTCGTCATCTTTGCCGCAAAGGAGCACTCTGGCTACACTTTCTCCCAGACATATGTGTTTGGTATTTCGGCAGTCCATGAGTGGCATCCACTTCCTCAATAAAATGCCTCCATAAATCTCCGTTATGCAGATGACACAACCTTGCTTGCTGAAACTGAGGAGGACCTCATGCACTTGCTGCGAAGGGTCAAGGACTGCAGCCTTCAGTATGG